TACTTAGCAAAATTTATTTTTTTATTTTGCAGAAAAAAGAAAGAACGTAAAAAAAACAGATAAAATTTTACACTGCATTTTGTTTAACACATTTTTTTACTCCTATAAATTAGAGATGTAAAATTATGACAACCAGTTGCCTAATGCTTTTTAATCAACAGTAATACCATTAAAAAATTATTTGGACATAAGTAAGGTGTAAGACAAATGGATACAAAGCGACAGAACAATAAAATCAATTAAAGATTGATATAACTAATTTTTTAATTGTTTTTTTACTTCTAAAATACTAAAATACTTTCTTTTTTTTACTGTTTTGTACATTTATCTGTTCGATTGTTTAATTACTGTTTTTTGTTCAATAATAACAATTATATTTTAAGGAAGCAGAAACAGAAAAAGTTGAAAAAAATGTTCGACGGCTTGAAACACAACAGAATGATGGTAAATCTGGTAAGAATTTTTAGTAAATGTAACTAGTTTAGTCCATTTTGTTTTCTAGTATTTTACTGCTGAATTAAACTTTAGCTTTAAAAGCTAATTTAAATTTCAACAATTTTTCAAGACAATGCTGCAGTTTAGGAAGTTCTTTTAGCTCAGTTGCTACAAGTTTAAACAGCCGAGAAAGAAAAATTTTGAAGTTTGTTAAAACTGCGAAATGAACTATACGTAAAATTTTCAAAATTTTTTTCAATAAGAGTTCTCAGTAAGCAAAATGTGAAAATTCAAAAGCTACTGACAGATAATATCAACACCAGATAAATATTATGCTACTAATAATTCAGCAGCATCTCACTCATATGCAATCTATAGACTACTTTTTTTTTTTTTTTTCGCTGAGCGCTTAAACTTCTTAGCCATCTATCGCTTTTTTATGACTGTCGTTCGCTTGCTGCACTCTGTAGAAGCAAATAAAAGAGATCAGCTGAGAGTTCCAGAACTGATCATGCTAATGACGTTAACGTTGCATAAACAGCGATTAATTTTTATTTCTTGGTGAACACTGATTGGTTTTTGAAGCTTTTGGAATTTGCTAATGCCAAAATTCAATTGCTAGCTTCTCAGTATCTGTCTACAGCTAGATCAATTTTTAGTACTGTCTTTAGCAATTTTACGCTGTTACAGATGAAAAATATCAGTCTTCTATCAACAAATTTTCTTTAGTCATTAACGTGAACGTAAAAAAATGACGTACATTTGATTACTGTCATTGTCTGTGGTTTGATGAAAGGGGAAATTTATTTTAACTTTTTAATGTGTTTTTTTTTTAACTGGAAGAGTGAAGACAGTTTAAAATTTCACAGTTTGCATTCTGTTCAACGTGGCTTATTGTTAATATCTTTTTTTTTTTTTCACGTTAGCTTTATTGTCAGCAGTGACTGGTTCTACAACTTCAATGTGCAGAAGAAGCTTAAGAACAAAAAAAGATTTTGTTTACTATATACTGTAGAAGCACTTTTGTAGTTTTTGAGAAATACTGCGACGAAAACTTTATTGAACATTTAAGCTTGAAAACATCTAAAAATTGATAGTATTGAATAAAGAAGATTCTGCATCTTTTCTGTGTTGGGAGCTGTTGCAATAATGTTTTCAAGAATGATCGACTGCTAGAAATGTAGTTACTGTTAATCGTCACTGTCACTCTCACCGCCACTGTCACCGTCGTTTTAGATGTCCTCACAGTTGTTGTCCTTCAATTACTACCTCTACGTGACTCTTGCAGCTACATATATATGTTGCTTGTCCGTCTCACTAACCCGTTTTTTCAGCATCACCATCATTCCAAGATGATGACGATAACAACGGAGTACGCGATGAAAATGCTGATGAAAAAAATATTGAGCAAAATCTTAGTAATAATTCAATAAATGATGATTCAGTTAGTCTTCGTAAGTTCACTTGTTCTATTGATCTAATTTTTTGTTAATTGTAACTGACAAATAAACCGTTACAGTGCGATTTGTAAATTAGTGTCGACCAGTAAAATAATTTGACGCTTGTTAATTCATTTTTTTGTCACTTGGATATGTTACATTCAAATTTCATGATTACTGTTTGCTAAACTGACGTTTCTTTCCTTTCAGTTTTGCTTACTGCCTGCTATAAATTTATAATTTTTTCCAACACCTTCGTTTACTTTCAGCTTCTCTAGCTTTACTGCTTATCTTTTCTGGCTTTTTTTCTGTTTTTTTTCAGTTTGTTCAAGCTATTTCAGATATTGTGAAAGTTGAGATTTGAGAGGATTTAAGCTAATATGTACCACATTTTACTCTAACGCTTAAGTTTGTTGATTATTCTTTTATCACTTAAAAACTAAGCTGTTTTTCAAAAACCCATCAAGCTTACCGAAATCACACTTGTAAAGTGCTAGATTCTTTCGTCTTTTCTGCCAACCAAAATGTCAAAATTTTTTGCTGATTAGAAAACACCATTATTCTTAATTTTTTCAAAGAATTTTTTTAAAATCTTTTTGGAGAACGTTTTGAAGGTCGTATAAAGCAAGAAAGTGAAATGACTTTATTGTTTATGCGTTTATCTGATGCCATTATTTTATAAAATACAGTGCTAATTTTGTAGTGTTTATCCTGTAGAAACCCTAATTTTACGTTTAAACATCTACTTTTAATTTTGAACGTTTAAGGAACATATAATATTCTAATATACCAATTGGAACAGATAGAGTTTTGTAAGTTGCTTTTATGTCACTTTCTAGGTGATTCAAAAGGTGAAGTGGATGCTGCTGCTTTGTTGCCGGTGCCACCAGACGGTGGGTATGGCTGGGTTATCGTATTTGCAGCATTCTTTTGCAACTTCTTGGTTGATGGTATCGCTAACGCTTTTGGACAGTTTACAAAATTGTACGTGGAGACGTTTAAATCTGACACAGCAACAGTGGCTTTTGTTGGATCATGCTTAATAGGCGCTTATCTTCTTGTTGGTAAGTGAGTTTGAAATTTGGCGTTGTTTACTGAAGAAAGAAAACTTTCACGTTTTGAAACACTTGCCAGTTTGAATGTTTTAGGTCCGATTGTCAGTGGACTGACCAATAAATACGGTGCAAGAATTGTAGTTATTCTCGGTTCTATAATCGCTGGGCTTGCATTTTTGCTGTCAATAATGTCACCAAATATTTATGTTATGATCCTTCTTTATGGTATTATTGGAGGTATGCATCAGATTATCACTCTGATGTCGTTTTTCTTAACTTAAAAAAGTGTTTATTATTTTATTTGTTTCAGGTATTGGGCTTGGATTTATATACCTACCGGCAATATGTGTTGTATGTTATTATTTTGAGAAGAAACGTTCATTGGCTACTGGAATTGCAGTAGCTGGCTCTGGGGCCGGTACAATTGTAATGCCACCGTTATGTTTTGAACTTTTGAAAAGTGAGTTTTGAGAGCGTTCGTGAGATAAATATTGTTATATTAATTATTTTTTGTTTGAGGGATTTTTGCACATTTTTTTTTTGAATAAGAGCTATAATGTTTTTCCAGGCTTTGGTTACAAGACTACGTTAGGTGTGCTGGCTTTACTCACATTTACAGGCATCGGCTTGGGGTTGTTATACAGACCACTGACTGCGTCGAATGCTAGTGATGAAGAAGCTCAGGAAAAAGAGATGGTGACTGGATACTGTTTACAAAATTTTTGATTTTAATCTTTTTTTAGCTGTTCTGCTTTTTGGTCTTTTTAACCAGCGAAAAATTGTTTAACAAATACTTCCGAAGGATTTGGAAAAAATACTGAAGGACATAGGGTTATCAATCGCCTAGTGAGTAAAATAAATAATTTTTCTGAGAGATACGAAGGTTTAATTAAGGATGAATATTAACAACAATCGTAAACGTTTCATTTTAGCAACCACTGAATAAAAAAGACACGCAAGAAGAGAGAGACCACAGCCGTGCAGCATCTGTTAGCGGTAACGATGGTATGCGCTATTTTTTTTTACACTTAACACAGTGGGGTTTAAGGTTGATTCAACAGTACAATAGTGACGACAGAGTAATTTAGGCTTTAGATGAAGTCTTAAAGATTGTTTAGGGGATAAGCCACAGTTTAAGCGGTTGCGGTCGACAGTAAGTGAAAGTGGGGACCCGTCTGCGCAACCGCTTATTGACGGAAGCAGGGATGGGGGAGGGCTGTATCCAAAATTAAACCAGAGTGATGGGAAAGGAAAGCGGACTAGGTACGATTTTAATTTTTAATGACTAGAAAAGAGCTTTAATAACTTTAATTCTTTCTGATTTTTTTAAAGTAACTACTTTCTTTCTACTTGAAGTGAATCAAGTGATGTTCTTGGAGCTGACTATAAACTGACAAAGGTCTCTGCCCGAGACTATGCTCAGTCACTTACTCGGCTTTCACAGACGGGTTTAAAAGACGCTGAGTCAATGGCTTCAGCTGTAAGTCTTAAATTTCAATTTGAAAATTTTTTTCTATCTGCATTGTAATACTGCAAGAACTACCATTTTTTTAAGGGCAGCATCAATGCAAAAGAATTTTCAAAACCTATGAATCGTAACGACATCTTCTATCAAGGGTCTATACAAAATTTACCAGAATTTCAAAAAGAAGGTTTGATTAGAAACTTTATAAAAGTTATTTGTTTTAGTCTATTTTTTTGCCTTATTCAGACCAACTCACCATTTACTTATCATATTAGCTGAATTGAAAAGCCTTCCAGGTCGCGATTTTCGTAAATATCGAGAGTCTCAGGTTTCAATTCCTACTGAATTCGCTGCCCAAGCACTAGGTCTGACCGAAGGCGGCACTGATGATACCAATAACAAAGGGTAATTTACTACGTGTTCTTTTTCTTCCTATATATTAGCAATACTCTTGAGTTTTCACTTAGTGTAAAACATTGGTTGCAGTATTACTGCTGGGTCGCTTTTCACTATAATCCAATAATAAATTCTAGGATATGCTCCTGTCTTCCACCGTCAGTTCGTAGCACCTTTTCTCAGATGTTAGACTTTGAGCTACTGAAAGACACATCAATGATTCTTCTTTCATTTTCTAATCTCTTTGGGATGCTTGGGTTTTACGTTCCATTTATGTTCGTATTTGAAATGGCTAAGTCAAAAGATATAGAAGAAGAACAAGCAAAGTGGCTTTTACCGGTTATCGGAGTTTTCAATACACTTGGTTCGTTATTTTGTTAAAAGATTACTTAAGATTTGGATAGTTGATTAAAAACGCTGAGTTGGCGAACAAACACTTTTCATTTTATTTGAAAAAGGAGTAATTCTGCATAGGTAATTCTGTTGCTGCACTGTGCTGCGAAGGCTGCGCTTATTGAGAGTTTTTTCTGCAGTTTCATTTTATGATCTTATGCTAAGATCCCAAAATCTTTTTTTCAATCTGGAACTGAATACACTTGTTTAGGCCGTATTGTTTTTGGTTGGCTAGCGGACCGTAAGTGGCTTTCTGCGTTAGCGCTTAACAACATATCATTACTGTCGTGTGGAGTTTTAACCATGCTTTGTCCTTATCTATCGTCTTATACAACATTAATGGTCTACTCTGTCCTGTTTGGCTTCATGATCTGTAAGTAGAATACATAAACTTTTCTTATTTACGCCAAGAAGGATATGTGGGTAAGAATTAGGAGAAAACATTTTTTGAAGATGAATGAAGTTTCTGTTCTTACAAGATGGAAAACAACATCGTGCATAACTTTTCAAGGGTATCTGTAACGT